AATCATTCAATCAATCAATCAGCTATTCGTCCTTTATAAATTTCTAAGAGAAAAAGAATAACGATGAAGACGATTATTTTGATGACGTATATGTGTGTATATCTATATACATATATGTGTGTGTGTGGTATGTATGTGTGTGTGTGTGTGGTATGTATGTGTGTGTGTGTGTGGTGTGTGTGTGGTGTGTGTGTTGAAAAGAGACCATATCTTATACAGTATTGTATGAATTGAATTCGATAGAATTCATACAATACTCTCTCTCTCTCTCTCTCTCTCTCTCTCTATATATATATATATATATATATATATATATATATATATATGTGTGTGTGTGTGTGTGTGTGTGTGTGTTTGTTTGTGTGCGTGTGTAATAATACAATGTGTGTGTTTTTGTGTGCGCGTGCGTTTGTAATTATAAACAGTATGGTTGTTGAAATTTAGTCAAGAGGTTTTAGGTCTTATCGTTTGTCTGTGTGTGTTAGGGTCGAAGTTTGCTTATAACAAAAAATGTGCATAGGCATACGAAGCAGACAGACATGTAGTCTATTTTAAACATATTTAAACATTCTACATACACGCACACACACACACACACACAACCGCAAACAGACATAAATAAATATATATGTAAAAAATGTGGAAGATAAAGAGAGAAAGGAGAGAGGGATTGAGAAAGAGAGAGAGAGAGACCAATCTTGATGTTAAACAACAAATTGAAATAGTTTAGTTTATAATATCGACGTTTCTTAAACGCGCGCACACACTGCACACACGCACAAAGGCAAATATTAAATCTCAAGCCAAATTGAACACTCGTGTTCAGTGTTTCTCTCAGATTTCGATAACATTAACGTATTTCTGTTATCGTTGTAGGAAAATTCGATATCATGTTATATATGCTTGGTTCAGGAAAAATAATTAATTAATTAATAATTAGTTAATAATTTACTGTTTACTTTTACATTTTCCACCAATAACTTAAGCACTGCTGCAACTTGCACCATGAAGCCAGTGGCTTCGGTTCGACCGGCGCTGAGTAAGGAAGATGTTCTTGGGATTTTGTCGGAAAGGTACTGCTTGCAAGGAGTTCTTGAGGTTAAAGAGTTACCAAGTTACGAAGATAGAAATTATTATGTTAGTACTATCAGTGTCGGTTTGGTTGTGATCATTTGTCGTGTGTGTGTCTGTGCGTGTAAGTGTGCGTGTATGTGTGTACGTGTGTATGCGTGAGTGTCTGTATATTTTGGGTTTTTTAAATTCAGTATTTGGTGGTAGAACGAAAGTATTTGTCTGTGTAAGCTAGTATTTCACGTGGTTTTTTATCTTGCATCTTATTCTGTTTTGTATGTTTAGTTATGTTTCATATTTATTTTCAGTATTTTTACAAAGAGGTAAATATCTTTTTAGCACGTATGTGTAACTGTTTAACAAAAACAAAGTTGTTGCTGAGTAGATATAAATATATGCTATCGACGTGTGTTTATGTGGTGAGATGTTTTTCTTATGTCTTCTTATTTGAGTGGCTAGACTTGTGTTGGTATATCAGTGCGTGTATGTATGTACATGTAAATGAGTGTGTATGTAAGTGTATGTGTGTGTGTATGTGTGTATGTATGTGTATGTGTGTGTATGTATGTGTATCAGTACGTTTGTCGGTGTGTGTATTTATGAAATTGTATGATTATAAACATGCAATCGTGTGCATTTAATTTTTGAAATGATACTCAGTTTGCAGAATTCAGTCTTGTCAATTTTTTTTACGGAGAGTGTCTATAAACTGTTTTGAAACTATTTTGCGATAATCACAGAAAATAAAACACTCGAACACCTAAGAAAGTTACAAAAGCTAATCAATTCTTATTAGTTCGTTTAAAATACGAAGGAAATTTTTTGATTTCTGAATTCTTAATTGCACGTACCGTACTAAAATAAAGACAAAATAAAGAAATTTTTGATTTCTGAATTCTTAATTGCACGTACCGTACTAAAATAAAGACACGATATTAAATTACACTATACATGAAATGTTTCAGGTTAAAACTGAGAAGGAGCAACCGAATGAATTTGTGTTGAAGATAATGAATAGCAGCGATTCCACAAGAATACATGTAGGTATGTACTGTACATGATACTTACTGATATATTAAGCATATGTGTGTGTTGCATATACGTGTTGCATATGTGTGTGTTGCATATGCGTGTTGCATATACGTGTTGCACATACGTATCGCATATACGTGTTGCATATACGTGTTGTAAATACTTGATGCATTAATAACTCTTTATGTGTTAAATGCATACTCCACAAGTTCACATTTCAGTGTATATATATATATATATATATATATATATATATATATATATATATATATATATATCAGCAATATGGCTATTTTTAA